TGTCGTTGCTATGCGAATTGAGGGCATCGCTACCTAGACCGCTTCAGACTCGTCAGCCCAGTGAGTTAATGGCTCACTGTTTGATGAATTCTATCGGTTCTCCGTCGAAAAAGAGATCAGAGCCGTCACTAGAATCAGATCTGAAGTTCCTCTGGGAGGCGGAATTCCTCGGTGTGGATGAAAGGACAGACGAAGAGGATTCCTTAAATAAGGAATTGAACGAATTCTTCGAGAACTCTATCCGTCGCAGAGAAGACGGTAGATACATTCTGGCGCTTCCGTTCAAAGACAACCTCGCATCCCTGGGAGATAACGAGGGACTGGTCAGATCTCGTCTGTACTCATTCATCAGGAAGTTGAGGAGAAAACCACTGCAGATGGCAGCGGTCGATATGGAAATACAGACGTATCTAGACAGAGGATATGCGGAAGAGGCGGCCCCGAAACGGGAGGGTCAGTCGGCGCATTATCTTCCCCTACAGGCAGTGTCCAAGTTTAACAATGACGGTTCGGAGATAACTAAGACACGAGTCGTCAAAGATGCGGGAGCACGCAAAAGAGACGAACCATCTTTGAACGATTCCCTCCATCAAGGACTTGCTCCCAAACGTGATCAAGTTCGAGATTGAGGAGAGTGACAGAACCTTTCTGCGCTTCCTCTGGCCTCTGGGCATATCACGAAACCCGGCAGCGCCCATCAAAGAGTTCTGGACCAGAGTTCTCGACTTTGGACTCATCTGCTCTCCGTGGCTACACATCAAGGGGGTGCGATATCATCTGGAAAGGTGCAAACGTCAATTCCCAGACAACGCTCCATTCATAGAGGAGGTGTCAGAGGATCTATATATGGATGACGTTTCGTTCCAAGCGGACTCATTCCCAGATGCGGAGAGGAAAATCGGCTTGCTTTTCAAGATTTCCGGTCTTGCGAAGTTCCCACTCAGAAAGTGGGCAACGAGCGACGCGAGGATAGCGGAAATGATCCGAACTCTATCTCCCCTGGAAAGCACAGAGATCACGACTGATAAAGCGGATGCCAAATTCTTGGGAGTTAAATGGATTCAAGGAAATGATGAGATCGGAGTTAGTATGGACAAAGCCGTAGCGGCACTCGCGGTGGAGTCTCCGACGAAGCGATCTTTACTAAAGGGTCTCGCAGCGATCTTCGACCCCCTGGGACTACTGGCTCCAGTGAGTGTTCGGGCCAAGTCGGTGTTTCAAAAGCTCTGGCGTTTGGGGGTGGACTGGGACGAGACGCTACCGGAGGAGATCAATCTGGAATACGAAACGTTCGTCGGATTATTGCGAAATAATTCACTCACGAGTATTCCGAGGTGTATTACGGGTCAGTTTTCGGCTGATCGATACGAACTACACGCTTTCTCGGATGCGAGCATGGATGCATACGGTTGCGTGATCTATATGAGGACGATCTTCCAGAGAACGGCGGAAACGCGTTTTCTCATTGCTGAAGCTCGAGTAGCTCCAAACAAATGCAAATGGTCCATCCATCGCTATGAGCTCATGGGAGCACTTCTGACAGCGAAGATCGCAGATCAGGTCACAAGATCCATCAAACTCAGAATCGATAAAGGGTTCTTCTGGTGTGACAACATGGCTTGCGTTTCGTGGATTCACAGTGACCCAAACCGCTGGAGCGCATTCGTGGCGAATCGGGTCCGAGACATCCACAAACTGTCAGACGCCTCCGACTGGCGATATGTAAAGTCAGAAGACAATCCGGCGGATATCGTCTCGAGAGGTCTGGATATCTCGACTCTACCGACTAAGCAGCTCTGGTTTCGCGGTCCGGCTTGGCTGAGTAACATCGATTGGGAGGCACATACGACCGACCCGCAAATAGAGGAAACCAGCGAGGAGAAAAATTCAGTCTAGGTTATGTCAGGGACATCACCGTTTCATGCGTGAAAACGTTTTGAGGGTATTGGTGGACGAAATTTCTCATGCGTCATGTGCCTGAAAGGTATTCATTCCGGCCAATCGAGACTGCCGGCGGGTAATTGGTCCTCCTCATTCGACCGCATGGGCTAGATTGATTTCGGTCGAGTGCTGTTTCGATGCGGATTCCTCCTTGGAGCTGATGAGAGGCCGCGGTTACTTTTGTTGTCGTTCATCGGAGAATTTAGTTAGACTCAGCATCGACGGACATGGAATCCATAGTGAGTTGGAATGTGGATGGTTATGGGTGGCGAAGTTGTTTCCGGTGGGTGAATTCGCGAGGATTCTACCTCGTGAGAACCGGACGAGCGATAGCTTTCCGTGCAATCACTTTCGTGATGTGGCTTGGTGTGAGCTTGCTTCCAAATCGGACGGTCGTAGAGCGAGGGAGATGACGCGCAAGGTGCAGACCCGTATGAGAACGACGTCGACATTCTTTGGATGAGCATTGTTTCACTGATGAAGCAACATCTCATTATAGACCAGCGTTCCCAGATTAGGAACCTTTCGATTACGATGCGACAGACCCGAGGTCCAAAGACATCGTTTTCAGGCAAACTTCATTGTTTAGTCGACCGAATCATTCCACATTGGGGAGCTTCGGAAATGAAGAGTTTCGAGGGAATGTCTAGAGAACCTCGCCTCAATAATCGAGTAGAACTATTGCATCTTGCTAGTTTTCTCTCTATCGAGCTCCATATATAAAATTCTCCTC